CCGGGAGGAGGCGCGGCCGGGCGAAAGCGCGAAGGGGACTTGGCCTTTCCGTCTCTCAGGCCCGTGAGGCCGGAGCTGGCGCTGTGGCACCGCTGGGACAACGACGCGGTTTACGTTGCTGCGGCGCGAAGCAATTGCAGCGGGAGACCCGAAACCGTGACACGGAGTCGGTTTGATCACTGTAAGCACGGTCGTGTGACACCACCTAGAGCGTATCTCCCAACTGTCGGGAAGTCAGTTCGTATTCTCTTCCCGTGTTATGCCTTTCAGAACGACATAGGTAGTGAAACGTTCAGGGTTTTCCATTTGTTCATTTCGAAATAATTCTTATTTCAGTGGAAACAATTTTGAAATTATCATCATAGATGATGGGAGCCCGGATGGGACACAGGAAGTTGCTGAACAATTGGAAAAGATCTATGGATCAGATAAAATAGTGAGTTGTATGTTCTGTATTTTTTTTTCATTTTTATTGTATTGGAAAGTACTTGGAGCCCTTAGCGATCTGGAATGGAGTCCTGGATTCTGCACTTTCTTCACAGCCTTAAACAAGTTATTTAAGTTTTGCACACCATGTTAGATAAATGTAAAGCTACAATAGTCATGCAGCTGCTTAGTAGCATTATGAACTAATACGGAGAATCACAAATTAATATTTGCAAAATGTTTTTGATACTTTGTGCCTTCTGTGTGCCACCGAGTGAGGAATAGCGGTTGTTTGTGTACCTTGTGCATGCCTGAGGGAGAGATGAGGTCTGGATAAACTTTAATTTCATTTTAAGTGACTGCAGTACTAGGGAAATCAGAGAGATAAAAAGCTAGTCTGGTCTGTTGAATTATTTTTATCTGTCTAGTTGCATTTCTCAATAACGGGGCTTTTTTTGTCCTTTTTAATGTATTTCTGGATAACTATCAGTTATATACAAGATACTTTAATTTAGTTTGTCTTTACCAGTCATTAAAGCCAATTTTTCTGCTTTGGTTTTTTTTTTTTGAATAAAAGCTTTACCACAGAAGAGTGTAAAACACCAGCATTCAGTTTGCCAGTTTTGTGCCGTAAGCAGTGTCAGACTGCTAATTACACAGTGATAGATGAAGAAGTAAAGAAGTTCTAGTCAGCTAACCTTTCCTCACTGGTTAAGAGTGTAATTAATCTGTGGACGAAGCCCTGCATCAGTGTTGAGCCAAGCACACTTGGGTGAAATCACATGGAGGCAGTGCCATTAGCTCACACTGATGTTACTGCAGAAGAGTAAATCCCTTTAGAGGAATTTTATTTGTTTCCTGATTTTTTTTTTTAATTTTATTTTTAATCTGAAATTCTTTTCTTTCTCTCCTGAGCAAAATCATTGTTCTGTTTTGTGCTCAGGAGTTGTCATCCAAATAACTCCATGGGGCTTCTCACTAACTACTTTGGGCTTACTGAACATGGGGTGCAGCTGACTTGATGAGAGGTCCACATGTTCATGGTGGAGTTTTTTAATGCAGAACTGCTAAGAAAAGCTTAAAAGGGGCTTGTTTTTAAAAATTATCGGATCAAATAGCAGTTTAATATAATGATGTCTTCCTCCTGTATTTTGATAATTTATTTTTATATATTATCTAGATTTCTAAGAAAAGTACATTTTAAAATATTTGCATACTTTGAAAATAGCAAATTTTAAGGTGCTGCTAAAATTAATTAGAAACTGTACTTCAAGTAATATATGTATATTTTAATACATCCTGCAGCTTCTAAGACCCAGAGCAAGAAAATTGGGCCTCGGTAAGTCCTTATTACCTCTGATTAGTGCTAAAATATATAAATAAATAATATGCTGTATCTTTAATTCTTGTGTATGAAATTCCAGAAAAAATCCCAGTAAAGCTCAAAAGCAGAAATACATATTTTTGTAAGCTAACAAGCTTAAAAACCACTTGGCTAAAACCCAGCGTATTTGTAACAAGTTCCTCAAACCTGAAAGCTGTGGTCACTGCAATTCTGTTCAGCTGTGTTCTCCTGCTAACATTACGCTGCTGCTCTCCCTCCCATCCTGCATTCACTGATTACAGAATGAGGGGTCTAGATTAAGAAAAAATGAAGGTTTTTTTACAAGATTAGCTGTTGTATTTGTGTGGAACCTACCAGGGGTATTTTCCACGCAGTCTACCCATGTGCAGCATGCTTCAAAAGCTGGACCATAGTTTGTGCAGTCTCCAGAGATATATCAGTGTGAATTATGACTATAAGTAAATTTTAAAAATTGCACTATTGAGGAAAACTGTAATAGCACGATTTGTTCCAGCTCTTATCAAGGTAGCCACACCACTTCATACAGGATGAATAAAATGCAGCAAAATCCAAAGTAGGAAAAAAACCCTGTCTTCAGATGCAGTATTGGGATCTAATTCATGGTGTTGAGACCAGCCCAAAATCTATATACTATTAATAGTAAATCTCAAGTCTAGAAACCACTTTTTCTTGTTGTGGTTTTTTTTTTTTCTTTTTTTTCCCTTTTCCTTAAACTATCAGTGGTTATTTTGATCCCTGTGTCCTATTTCCAGTTTTCTATGGCACTTCTGGAAATGTTATTTCAGATAGTGTCCCACTTATGAAGTCATTTTCCTCTGTGCATTTCCAGTGCAGTAGGGTGTGCCGAGGTTAATATTTATGAAATCTACTGCTGAAATTGTAGGG